CAATAAGAAGAATTCAATATCAACATTCATAGAGAGCTTGACTTGTACCGAAACTCATTGTCGAAGGTACTTGCCTTGTGAGCTAAATATACGAAAACTTCATAAAATGTACAATGAAACTGTGTAAGAGTAAAAGAATGCTTCTTTAGAAATTATGTTAACAGTAACTACAACATAGGCTTCGGAACTCCTTTTACAGATATGTGCTCAGAATGTTTAAAAACGCAAGAAAAACTGAAGACTGAAGCAAATCAAAACATTAGAAATGAAATTATGGTAGCTAATAGAGTACACAAGCTGAGGGCACAGGCTTTTTACTGGTATCTTAAAACAACACAATAACATTTAGTGTTTCTCATTCGATTGTCAGAAAAATCTGGCTCTTCCAAAACTAGCTGATAAATCGGCTTATTTTTCACAACAATTTAATTTGTATAATTTTTAAGTCCTAAAGAGGACATCAACTACAAGGTTAAATCCAGAAAATGTATCTTCATATCTCTGTACAGATCAGCAACTACCAAAAAACTCTAGTGTCATAGCCTCAGCCCTCTTTGTCTTTCAAAATACAATTTTTTTGTAGGTATTACCACTGTTCGTCTTTTTGCTGATGGGTGCGCTGGTTAGAACAGAAACTCAATTGTTATTGGAATGCTCATTGCGTGGCTTTATAGAGTGGCCCCAAATCACATCTCTAAAATTTAATTTGTTTTCCGTATTGTCGGACATTCCTATATGCCTCCTGATCGTATATTTGGGATAATTGAACGAAAAGTAAAAAAATACCCTGCAATTGCAAATTCAGAAGAATATTTCAAAATAATTAAAGAATTTGCCAGTGTCCAGGTTTTAGAAAAATACTGGGATGTTTTTAACTGGAAGGAAGTAACTACCTCGGTGCTTAAACCTCCAACGAACTGACATTTTCAGTTTAACTGTACCAAAAGATTTATTTTGGAAAAGATAGAAGGAAGACCTGTTGATCCTCAGAAAGCAGCATCCGTGGCGAATTTGTTGAGTAAGCATTATGGAACTGAATGGAGAGAGTTGCCAAATTTAAAATTTTTTATAAAGAATTGATCAAGATCCTGTACATTATCTTCAAATGAACCCAGAAGACGCTAATGATGCTGTTTGCTGTCAGACACTTTTCATCATTGTTATGTTACTTATATTGAAAATAAAATACTATACAAAATGTGTTATTGACAAATTTAATACATTTGAGGTGCAAAACCCGCCAAGAAATTTTTTAGATATTAATGCACCTAACGCGCCTAGATTTCTTAAAAGTGCTTTATTATGCTAAGAAACTATGTTAGCATATTGTAAAAATACAAGTGACCTTAAAAATACTTTAATTTACTTTCTGGAGGTTTTTCTTGATTATCTCAAAACCGCTTAAAAGTAACTTGGCGGGATTTGCATCTATACGACTCAAATATTAAAGAGGAATCGAATGAAAAAAATCAGGTTTTCCGAAAAATACCTCTTCAGCAAGCACAAACGGTCTAGAAAATTACAATTATAAGCAAAATTAGTTCTTTGCTTTGTCGTTTCACTTGCAAAACTCATGGCTTGAATGAATAATTACCACAGACAAATTGAAAGGAGATAATAGAACGATTAATAGTTTCCTTTCCAAAAAGTAAGGGAAAATTGGAAAGGACTTCCGGAGCAAAATTGAGGTGTTGAGAATTATAGTGGCATAACCCACCAAAATTTTAATATTTACTTTTATCCATTAATATCTTATTATTCAAAGTTTCGGTAGAAGATCGGCCTAACCGCAATTAAATAGCCGTTTCATAATTATGAAACGATTACGCCGGTTTTCTAACGAAACTTTGAATAATAAGCTATTACTTTATCGCTAAAATTAAATATTAATTACAAACATTATGTTTAAAGAAAACTAAATGCAATACAAAAACTAAAAAAGGTGAACCGTACATGTGCGATAAAAAATTATGTAAATTACTGCTTTTTCGTTCGACTTAAAAAAAATTATATCCATTGTGAGAAAGACTATTTTCGATTTCCCAGAAAATTAATTTGGAACAAATAGTAAGTTTTGCAAGTAATGGCCATATATGGACAAAACTAATTTGACATCATCAAATAATGGTCCAATATTTTATTCAAATTAGTGTAATTTAAGGCCTACACATTTCGAAATCAACGTCTACTACTTTATACACTAAAAAGGATTAAACTTCAACTCGTTTTTATGTAAGTTCCTATACATTCATGAGTTTTTTTACCTCTATGCTAACCTCTACATCTTGCCAACACTTCAACTCTCTAATAACATGATAACTACTACTTACGTTAATGTCACTTCTTTGTTGTAGACTTTAAAGCTTGCGACTGTGACTTAACGTTATTTTGCATACATACAATGTTAGTTATTGTCAAAAAAATAATAATAATTTTGATGGAATGTTAAAATTTTCAATGTAGCAAATTAAGATGTTATGAAATGAATTAATGATTTTTCTGCTTATGATATGGAACAAAACGAAAGAGTCATATTAACTTATCTTCATTTATAAATTATTTTTAACTTTTTTAATAAAAAATTAAAGTTTTTTTTTTATAATTTGTACCGACGTTTTATCTAAATTATCGATAACTTCTCATATGAATAGTAATAATCTTTTTTTTATACGGTATTTCTCAATGAATATTTTCCTTCGTGAATCAATTGATGAAAATAGGTCACCCCCAATTAAAAAATAACAGGTAACCATTGTCATCAAATTTCAATATATCCCTTTTAATGGATTTATCACTTAAAGGGGACATCAACTGCAATAAACATGTACATAATAGTAAATCTAGAGTCAGCTGAATATAGGTGGATTTATACTCTAAATGGGACATCGCATAAAAGCGCTATCTTCGCAGCGTCGTCTACTTTACTATTTCCAAAGTAGCAGATGTAAACAAATCTAGATGCCATAGGTGATAGTAGCAAGTGCATTTGTCTCTGTTGACGTTTTTAATTATTGTTAAAGAGTTTGTAATAATTCTTGTGTTTGTTGTTTTTGGTAAGTACAAAGGTTATTTTTTGTAATGGTACATGCTTTATTGCTAAACACAAAACTATACTTTGCAACAGTGGTGAAGTACCTAGGTATCACCTTTGACAACAAGTTAACATGGAACTCGTATTTAGAAAATAAAGTCAAAAGAGCATACATTGCTTATGAATAATGCCGCCGAACTGTGGGGCGCACCTGGGGTTTCTCCCCCAGAGTCGTCGCATGGACTTAAATAGCTATCATAAAACCTATGCTAACATGCAATGCATCTGTCTGGATACCAACAACCCAAAATTTAACAACTGTCCGTAAACTAGAACAAATTCAAAGAACAACATGTTTTAACATAACAGGAGCCAAGAAAACAACACCGACCAGAGCCATTCTTAGTCTCACTCCCTTTGATATTTACATCAAGGAGGTTGCTCTGATGACAATGACACGCCTCCGTACAGTTGCAATAGAACCTGATGTAGGATCTGGTAAGGCGAGACGTCGCTTTTGACGTCATATTTCTGGTTGCGTATAGCACAGTGCAATAAAAATAAAACATTAAAAAGTACACAGACTTTTATAATTAATGTTTTATTATTACTGTAATGTGTTAGGAATAATTTAAATTTTTTATAATCTTCCATAAGACTTTTTTACATTTGCAGTATTTTTTTTGTAATATTAAAAATTTTGTTTATGATAAATATGTTTTTTTTTACAGCTATTATCGATGCCATAAATCAAAATTTGATGTATAATAAAAAGCGACAGAACCCAAAAAGCCGAGGTTTGATTACAAAAAATATTAATAATTTTCCTGTACATACGAAGAGAAAAATATTAACTAAACATGCTTTTAAAACAATAATGACTATAGGTATTTTATTAAAAACAATTATAAAATCAGACTAAACTATTTTAAATCTCATTTTCTCGCAAATTGAATTTTTTTACTTGTCACCTTTCAAGAGGTGGTGCGAAGTGGAAAACACAGAGAGTGATCGTGATGCTGATAGTGACAAATAAAGTGACGAATGACAAATTTATAATAATAAAGATGTAGCAACAGAAGTCATTGATGAGGATAAAAAAAGTGAAGAAATAAATATTAAAGTCCCTAAAAAGCAAAAACTGTTGCCAGGCATTTCATTCTTGTTAGAATTTTATTTTACTTTTTGTTTTTGTCAATAAATATATTTTTATTATTTTCAAATGTCAATGTCAAAAAAAAACATGTCAAAGAAAATGTGTTCGAGATATTTTATCTTTTGCCAATTTTGTTATTTTGGTGTATGTTAAGTAATCAAGTTTAACACGATTTTTTTGCAATACACTTTCCAAGGAATTTAAAAAAAATCCCTATAAATTTACCCCTCGCAATAAAAAAATTTCTCGGATTTTTGTCTAATTTAATTCTAATTCGTCGGCTCTTTCGATTTTACTACATCGGTCGTCAGTTAAAATATTTGTAGATAGATAGATTTGCAATACTGCTCGTTTCCAATTAAAAAGGAAAATAATCATTGAGATACCTTTTGCCCTAAACAAAACAAAAAAATCCCTGCTTTACTTGAAGTTAAATAATTCCGATCTTTAATATCATCCATCCTCTAATATACGTACCTTCTGAACATAAGTCCACGGCTTAACTTTACCACCTTCAGCCGCTTGCTCGTGAGTATGCGCGTTCAATTTATCAATCACGTCCTGTAAGTGCTCCTTCAACTGTTTATGCGGCTCATCCAACACCTCCTGCTTTATCATCTTATCAATAATATCAGAAGGCTTGGTATCCATTATATTAAACTTAAAACTAACAGTTTTCTGTTTGCAAAGAAGCTGACACTCTACGGTACCGTCCGGCTGTACGTTGTCAACTATGAGTTGATATTTTAGAGAGCTGCGCTTTCTCCTTGTTTTTTCTGTGTCAGAAGTCGAGGAGTTCAAGTCAGCACTTACTTGTTGGTCTAGAGAATCGTCTGTTATGACTGGAGTATGGCTGATTTCCTGCGAATTATGGCTAAGCGCTTCGCCAGAGCGGATGGTTTCCAATGGGGGATAAGGTGGGATAGCGCCACTTGCGTTTTCTGCAGATAAGGATTGAGATTCTTGGAGCTTCTGTGGTAGAACCTGGAAGTTTTTGTCGATAATCGAGTGACATATATTCACCGAAATTTCATTGAGACAGTGAAACAGATACAACAAAAATAAAAAGGAAAACTGTACATTAAATATATTATGAGAAGAGAAAAAAATTTGGAGAAAATATATCAATATTACAAAGGAGCACGATCGGTGGAAAAAATGAGTCAAGACAGATACTCATAAGTATATCTTAGTCTAAAAACTACACAAGAATAGAGAAAAAATATTTAGCAACGAGAAGATATGCTAGTAGATGTAAGTAGTAAACCAAACCTATCGAAAAAGAATTAAAATATGCTAGAATTTCTAGAAACGAAAAACATATTTGGTCCTTCATGCGAAAACGAGAAATGGCGACAAAGAACAAATAAGACTGATAAACCAAGTATATCAAAAAAATAAGATAAGAATAAACTTATATGTATGAGCAATACATAAAATACTAAAAAGGCATTATTATATTGGAATATGGTTGTACCTAGTAAAAACGAACTTAAGAGAAATATATAAATTCACTTTAATTTTTGATCTAGTATTAATCATACATTTATAAAGATGAAGGGTAAGGGGAAAAAACAGACGATGTCACAAAACTGACTTACTGAGAAAATTGAGTTTATAATTAATATTATTACCAAATCTTATGTTACAGTCATAGAAATAGATAAATCTGCACGTTAATATTTTTAACGTAATTTATTACTATATAGGTGGTACACAATTGATCGAAAAATATTTGATCGAATGACATTTGACATTTAAAAAATGTATTCCTATTAATTTACAAATTAATATTTTCAGATTATTTATCGTCACTGAGATTAAAGCACTGCAATTAATTCGCACAAAATATCAGTAAGGTCGAGTTGTCTCCTGATGGGACATTTTAGATAAATTATTTCTTTTTTTTTATAAGAAACTAATTTACCTAACCTTCGCGGTTTGCCTAACAAAAATAATATACAAAAATGAGAAAAATAAAAAACATGACTAATGTACCTAACCTTTGCTGTCAGGAGCCATTAAAATTATACTTATTGTTCTCTCGCAGGTTAGGTAACTCAGTTAATTTTTTTTTATAAAAAACCTATGCGGCCTGGAGACGTCGAGGGTTGCTTTGCAAAAAATTATACAAAAATGAGGAAAATTAAAAAAAAAACCTTAATTTACCTAACCTGTGCGACCTGGAGCCATTTAAATTTTACTGATTGTTCTCGAACAGGTTAGGTAAATTTATTAAGTTTTTTTATAAAAACTCAACTAATTTACCTAACCTGTGCGGCCTGAAATCGTCATGAGTTGCTTTGCAAAAAAATATATACAAAGATGAGATAAATAAAAAACTTAACTGATTTACCTAAGCTGTGCGGCCTGGAGTCATTTAAATTTAACTGATTGCTCTCGCACAAGTTAGGTAAATTAGTTTTTGTTTTATTTCTTGTATATTTTTTTTACGAAGCAATCAACGATGTCTCTAGGCCGCACAGGTTAGGTAAACTAGTTGAGTTTTTTACTTTTTCTAATTTGATGTGTATTTGGTTTTTCGATCAATTGGTTTTTTTATCAAATCTATTTTCGATCAATTTTCTTTTCAATCAAATGTTTTCAATCAAATGTATTCGATCAAATGTTTTCGATCAATTTTGTGCCACTCATAGTTAACTCGTTAAAAAAGAATTTAAACGTAAGATTATTATATTGAGGTTAAAAAAATAAACGTGACAAATAACTTGTTAAAAAGGAATAATTTCCATTTTAAAACTAACCTAAAATAATTTTCACCTGTATAACAATGTTTCATAAAATCCGTTAGTACTTGGGTTGCAAAATTGTTTTAGTACTTGCAAATCGTTGTATTTAGCGTGGACAACGTCGGTTTTTTCCAGTAATGCACGGACAACGTCCGGTTTTAACCATTTCGATTATTTTTAAATGTCTTATTATTTGGATCCCGTTTGTTTTATTCTCTTACAGTTAAGCATGTGTTTAAGGACATCGTTGGTTTTTTTCCCTTACCCTTCAGATGTTAAAACCCTTTTGTCTTGTGCTGCACCTGCTGAATGCAGTATTTTTGTCGTCAAGATATTTTAACTAGAAGTTATATTCTTTCAGTGAATCTTCATTGTGATGGAAAATCCTTAATTCTTTTTACCCCTCTTATCGGTTATGCCGCGTTTATCGGATGTAATAATATCGTACTTACTTTACAAACGATATAATTAATATTTTCTCTATTTTCTCTGACAAACGTGACAAAGTTGTATGTATTTGTATTTCTAGAAATGATTCTAACTGGTCTATGAAAAGAGCTACACAACTAACACTGAAAATAGGTATACAACTTTGCTACGTTTGGCAGAGGCATTAATATTCAGCACGAATAATATATTTATTAAAATTTAAAAAATGCAATGCTCTCAGCAATTAACGGTTAGGAGGGGTAAAGGGATTTAGGCGACATTCTGATACACTGAGTCACTGAAAAAATTTGATGGGAATATCCTTACTTTTAGTTAAAATATTTTAACGGGAAAAGTACCACAAGACAAAATAGTTTAATATCTTCATAAATACAGGGTGTCCCAAATAAGAGTGGATTGGATTAGATAAACGAAAGTAATTAGTGAAAACCCCATCTCTTTAGAGCAATTAATAAGCTGTGCATTTACATTTAAAATTGATCACTCTTATTTGGGACACCCCGTATATAATTCAAGTTCAAAAATGAAAGTGAATAATAAAAAATAGTGACCAGAATTAGTTAAAAGATCAGAAGGTACAGATAAGAATAAAATAAAAAATTGGATGGCATAATAGACAATTTAAGGCAAAAGAGGATGACAGAACGAAACAAAAATTTATTTATTTATTGATCTATACAGTCTGATAAAAATTAATCAATTGTCCACCCAAGGACAGTGTGGATAGGATACAAGAAATCTTCAAAATAGGAAATATACACAATAAGAAGAAATCGGTAGAAATGAATCTCTAAAGTTTTATTTCTGAAAACAATACTCTTATTCCAAAGTTGGAGTTATTTTTTTTATACAGGGTGGTCCACCGGTAACGCCTCGGTCTGTATGTCCAAAACTAAACTTTTTTTAAAAAATCAGTTTTTACGGTGAGATGTATATTAGAAAAGGCAACAATTTAAAAATAATTTCAATAATACAGGGTGCTCCAGGAAATTGGAATATATCAAAGTTAGGTTTTTTAATCGGGACACCCTATATTTTATTGAATTTTTAAAATCTATCATTTTTGATGTATTCGAGGATTTTCAAAATTTTCGGGTGTTTAAAAATGCAAATATATCCTACATTTCTTAATATTTCAAATTGATTTTTTTAAGGTACATTAAGCGTCTTCTGGGCGTAACCTCAAATACTTACTAATCAAAAATATTATATAGGGTGTTTACGAAATACTATTTATTATACGTAGATTTAAAGACTAAAAATTTCGTTATTTTAAATAGAACACCAAATATATTTTCAAGTTATTTGAAGTATCTTTCGAAACCCTTTCAAACGATGTAGGTATTCCCTATACCTATCTGTGATAGTTTTACTAACATTGTTACTTTTTTTTTGAAACACGAATTACAAAATAATACAAGATAATAAATTAATTTAATAGATGTTCAAAATGACGACCGTCTTCTTGAATACACATTGTGATCCTTCGTTCAAACGAATTTCTTACTCTTTTTAGTATATCCGGCGTAATAGTTGCAAATGCATTCTTAATTCGTTCCTTCATATCTTCTGGCATGGTTTCTGGGGTGTTGTATACAAGACTTTTTATGTAAACCCATAAAAAAAAGTCTGGAGGTGTTAAACAGGGTGATCTAGGTGGCCAATGGCATGGGCCTCCTCTTCCTATCCATTTATTTGGAAATTTCCGGTCTAAGTAATTTCTCACGTCCCGCGCAAAATGAGAAGGAGCACAATCTAATTGTAGCCACATTTGTTGCCGTACGTTCAATGGTATATCTTCGAGAAGCGGCCAAAAATCTGAACGAAGGAACCTCAAAAAATTATTTCCATTTAGATGACTATTAAAAAAATATGGGCCCATAAACATTTATGCTCTATCTGTTTTGTCGGTCAATAGTTCTAAATAGGTGCCGATTTTCTGTATCATAGTAATGGAAATTATTGCGATTTACTAAGCCATTGTTATGGAAAGTGGATTCGTCCCGTGTTGCTAAAAAACAGTTTTCATATGGTGAGAATCATAACTAGCCGGTGTGGAGAGACTTGGCTGCAACTATATGCCACCTATAATCACATATTCAAACTTGATGTCCGTCACTTGTCATGTAGTTATGAAAATTTTAAAGGCGCTAAATTTGAAATTTGTTTTAAAAACGGTTAGTATTAGTAGTATTACTGGTATTTTTATTATTTATATTTGAATGTAAGAAAAACAATTTTAGTTTTTAAATGTTTAATCCCTTAAATAAAAATATTTACAAAATCAAAGAAATTAATATTAAATTATTCCTATTTTAGAATAACAATGATCAGTGTTGTACATCGTTTCACATTTATTTAAAAAATCAGTTTTCTCTTCCAAAGTAGGTTTTTTTAAACTTGTAGATGTGTTTGCTGCCTTTTTCTTTTAGCACTTTTAAATAATCGTAATTGCTTGTCAATGTTTTTGTTGCTGGGTTCATTCTTATTTAATGGTTGTAAAGGTACTGCAGCTTCATGTAGAATACTAATACACCTATCTAATGATTTATTTAATTTTTGGTTTTTTTCATGATCCTAGGATTTTTTATTTAATAAATATGCAATTAAATGCAATTTTATTTTTAGATCTTTATTGTCATCCGTTGCCTCAGGGTGCTCATAGAAATTCTCTCTGATAAAGTTTTCAGAAGCAGAAGTATTTTGCATTTGGCTTGGACTTACGTCATGTGGATTAAAATGTTTAGCAACTGCATGAATACGTTTACATAGGTTAAATTTTATAAAAAAAAGTAGTTCGACATTAGACTAGACAGTTGACATGACATAGCAACTTGTTTGAATATGTGACTATAGGTGGCGTATAGTCGCAGCCAAGTCTCTCCACACCGGCTAATGAGAATCATATCCAATATTTCTTGCATAGAATATTGCTTCATTTTAATAATAACATTGCACAAAACACAAAATAATACCTATTGGAAACAGTTTAAATTAAAATGACATAAATTGACAATCAATGCCCAGACACCTTGATTAACTAAATTAAATGAATTATTTACATAAATTATAAGAACTAGACTATTCTCTAAAACAACAACATATAGGTATAGGGAATACCTATGTATATTGTTTGAAAGGGTTTCGAAAGATATTTCTAATAATGTTAAAATATACTGGGTGTTCTATTTAAAATAACGAAGTTTTTGGTGTTTAAATCTACGTAAAATAAATATCTATTTCTTAAACACCCTATACGATATTTTTGATCAGTAAGTATTTTAGGTTACAGCCCAGAAGACGCTTAATGTACCTTAAAAAAATCACTTTGAAATATTAAGAAATGGAGGATATATTTGCAGTTTTTAAACACCCCAAAATTTTGAAAATCCTCGAATATATCAAAAATGATAGACTCTAGGTATAACAACCCCTTAACAAAGTTACACTAATTTTCTTTGTAGATTTCAAAAATGCAATAAAATATAGGGTGTCCCGATTAAAAAAACCTAACTTCGATATATTCCAATTTCCTGGAGCACCCTGTATTATTGAAATTATTTTTAAATTGTTGCCTTTTCTGATAAATATACATCTTACCGTAAAAACCGATTTTTTAAAAAAAGTTTAGTTTTGGATATACAGACCGAGGCGTTACCGGTGGGCCACCCTGTATATAATGTATATTACTTGTAAGTACTTTAGAAAAAAATGGAGAAGGTTCCATAAATTGTTTTTTTTTGTATAATATTTTCTCCTAGTACTTTCTTAGTATTTTTGAAGTTATAAAAAGTAGATTTTGATAAATATCTCTATTTTATATTAGTACTCAAATTTAAATTTTAAAATAAATTCATTATTTACTAGAAATTATTACATTATTTTACTTTAATAAACTAATTTTATTGAAAAGTTTTAATCTAAATTTGTAGTGAATTTAATGCTAAAGAAGATTTGCAACAACATATGCGTATGTCATTAATTATTATAGTTCAAGAGATATTTAGAAAACATATGGTCTAAGATCCGAAGTAAGGTCGACCTTCACCCATCTGTTTAATGGATGAAAGTTTCTTTTTAATAAATAAAATATGTTTATAAATATACCGCAAATAGGATGCCTAAGAAAATACGGTCCAGACTATTTATTTTCTTAAAGTAAAAAAACGACACCCTGTAAAGTATTCCCCAGGCGCTTCGACTGTGCCCAAACTCTAATCAGCTCTCCACAGGATGGACTGAAGCTTAAGTTTAAAATTTGGTGTTTTTTTCTTCATCCGTTTTTGAGTTATCTTCAAAGTTCGAAATTTGCACTTTTCCTCAAATATCTCGAATTAGGTCCATTTTAGGGAAATCATGTATAGGGACAAAATAATAGAGAATGACATCATAAACAACTTTTATCATGATTCCTATACTTTCCTTATCTGTACACTACAGAAAGGAAAGTAAAAAATGGACATGACCGTATTTTCTTAGGCAACACATTTGCGGTATATTTAAAAACATATTTTATCTAATAAAAAATACTTCTATCCAATAAACAGATGGGTAAAGGTCGACCTTACTTACGGATCCTGGACTAATAGGAGTAGGCGTCAACATTAACAAATATTTATTGGTGTATCTATTTGTTCAATACCAAATAACCTTATTAACGCGTCATATCTCAAATATTGATGAAATATGAAAAAAACAAATATATTTTTCAATTTAAAGAGAAAAATATTCATAAGTAAATAGCACATATTCGAAGATCCACCTTTAACCCAAAAATACCTTCTATAATGTATGCTTCCACCCAGAATCTAAGAAATGTTTATAAAGACACAATGGTTAGAAATCAGCGAAAATTAAAACCAAGAACAAATTAGTAAACCAACTAAAATTATAATTATTTTCCCAATGAAAGAATTAAAATGCTTACCTGGGCTGTTTTCAAATGCGAATCTACCATCTGTTGTTGGCTCTGCACGTACTCCTGCATCAAAGCGGGCTGAGATATCGTTGACAACCTCCTATGATCGGGCTGTTGCTGGTCAAATGTGGGCATAGGAGGAAGAGAGGCCGTCGAAGCCCTGTGCTGCTCTTTGGAGGGCTGCAGGTGTTGCTGAGCCAACTTCTGTTGCAGCTCCACCAAATTGATCGGAGGGGTGCCGACGTTCAGCTCGACCGGTTGAGTGGACTGCTGCTGAACATACTGCTGAGGTTGCTCGACCGACTGCACTTGCTGCGGTTGGTCAATACTTTGAGGAATATATTGCTGATTTGGTTCTAGTTGTTTCTGAATGTATTGCTGTTGACTAGGATCAATACTCTGTTGTGGCATATACTGATGGTTTGGATCGACGTTCTGTTGCATGTACTGTTGACTAGGGTCGATATTTTGAGGAGGTACAAATTGCTGTTGTGGCGGCTGCTGCTGGTAAACTTGTGGCTGCTCATTTTGTTGAATCTGTTGACCTTGAAAGTTCTGTTGCTGAGTCTGTTGGGGATAATTAACCTGTTGCTGCGGAGGATAAGTTGTCTGAGGTGGTGGCTGTTGAGTAGGGTAACTATTCCCAGATTGTTGGGTATAATTTTGTTGGTAAGTAGTCTGTGGAGCTGCGAAATTAGCTTGTGCAGGCTGTGGATAAGTAGGCTGAGGAGGTTGTTGACTTTGTTGTGGATAAGTTTGTTGTTGTGCCACAAATGGTTGACTCCCTTGGATGATATGCAAAACTTGTTCAGGTTGCTGGCTCTGTGAATAATTTTGTTGCTGTGGTTGTTGGAAGTTTTGTTGTTGATAATTCTGGCTGTCTTGAGACGGATAACTGTGTGGAGGAGGGTAATTAGTCATTGTTGCAGAAGGTTGTTGTTGATAACCTTGCTGTTGAGGCGGATAATTTTGAACAGGCGGCTGATGTTGTACCACTTGAGCATAGGTAGGCTGTTGTTGAAAATTCTGTTGTTGAAAATTTCCAAGCGATTGTTGATCCTGTACTGCATCTAGCTGGCTATCGACACTTAATCTATGTTCGTGTGGTTGTGGAGCACTGTGCAGGTTTTCAGGTTGTGAAACGCTAGAAACTTTATGTTGAGGATCTTGATGTTGCTGTTGAGACTGTATCTGTAGGTATTCAGCTTGCTGTGGTTGCCCCTCTATGAAGTTTTGTTGTACGAAATGAGTAGGAGCTGGTTGTTTGTGAATAATAGGTTGTTGCTGAACTGGTTCCACGGAAGTTTGCCTTTGCATTACAGGCGCATTTTGGTGACCTTCTTGTGGTACTTGCTTCTGTTGGTAAGCAGCCTGTTGTTGATCCTGTATAACAGAGTGCTGTTGGGTGTATATTACAGAACTGTCTGGTGGCTGAGTCTGCTGTTGGAGATACTGGCTTTGCATAGCCTGTTCCTGCTGTTGCACTTGTTGTTGTTCTATAGTATGTTGTTGAGGTTGCTGTTGGTACTGCTGATCTTGTTGGTATTGAATTTGTTGCTCGTTAGACTGAATAACTTGCTGTCCTTGTTGATAATTTTGCTGTTGGTACGATTGTTGTTGAGTGTATTGGGGAGTTTGCTGCGTCTGAGGATAGCCAGTTAATGTTTGAGATTGCGGTTGCGATTGTTGTTGAGGTTGGGCCTGTTGGGAAACTGCAGATTGAGCTTGCTGCTGCTGTTGTTGTTGTTGTTGTTGCTGCTGTTGTTGTTGCTGCTGCTGTTGTTGTTGCTGCTGCTGCTGAGATATCTGCTGTTCAACTTGCTGTTGAATGTACTGTTGATACTGCAGTTGTTGAGCTAGTGCTTCCTCCTCCTTTGTCTTTTTCTCTCTGTCCTTAGTTATTTGGGTGATCTGCGTTTTCAAGAGTTGTGCTACTGTCTTGGCGTCATCCTCGAATATGATTCCAGATTTTGCCTACAAGTAATTCAAATAGTTCATGAGTAAATTGGATAGTTTGCTACTCACAGATATAATTAAAACCAAATATAATTGTTTGTTTAGGCAGCAAAGCAGTTCTATCAATATATTATTGTCAAAAATCATTTGAAATATGATATTATGAATTTTTAAAACAAATTTCCTGACAAAATCATACTGTCAAAGTTGACTATGACATATATGTTGAAAAAATATACGGGGGGCGGAACAAAAATGCAGTATATAAATAGATACGAGGTGTGTTAGTATTTTAATAATCTTACCATTTCTTCTGCTACAGTATTGCACCTATCCATTTCCATATCGAACTCGAATTGTATGGCTTCGTTTTCCTTGTGTTTGTGGGTTCTCTTTTTGGGATCGATGACACGCAAACGAAAGACAATTTTTTTGCTTTCTTGTGAGACGACCTCGACCTTCAATCCGACGTCTTCTTCGAAAAAGGCGTGATTCAACAAATCCTTAACTTTGGGCCTGTCCTCTTTTCGCGGTTTTATGCAATTCTCTATGACGTCTTTCACCTCCGGGTTTTGGACTTTGTCAAAGCTCGCAGGTTTTATTCCCTATGAAAGTTAAGTTATAATGAAATTAATTTTTTTAGTAAACGTGATGATAATGATAAGAGATAAATAGAGGTCCAAATAATTACCGAAATGACTTTTTTGTAGATCTGCGCAGGTCCAGTGCACTCTGAATAGGGATATTCGCTGGTAGCCATCTCCAACATGCACATTCCAAAGGCATAAACATCTACGCCCTCATCATAATGTTCTTCATACATTTCTGGAGCCATAAATTCAGGAGTACCAATTACCTAGTTATAAAAAAAAATTGTCGTTTTCTTTTACTTCGTAATCGAAATATTTACCGATTTAGCAAAACTCCTGTTCTTTAACGTGGCCAAACCCAAGTCACCAATTTTGACAGACCCTGTACCTCCGGTAATAAAAATATTATCACATTTCAAATCCCTGTGTATGATTGGTGGTGACCTGGAGTGAAGGAAGGCTAGGCCTTTCAGAATTTGCCTGCACCACGATTTCAGTACTTTTGGGTTGATCTTTTTGAATCTTCGCAAATACCTGTAAAATAAAACTTACAACTACCCGAAATCTTTTAAATAAATAAATAAATAAATTAATTAATTAATGGGTAATTAAATTAAAATTCAATATATTCTATCGATCCAATTCGAATTTTAACATGGCTTGGGTTAAATGTCAGTGTAGTGAGATGAGTAACTGTGTTTGAACTTATACTACTTACACAATAAGTGTAACTTTGTTTTAATTTATACATTTTTGGGACAATTTTAGAAGTTAGGGAGTTAAAAACAAGCTAAATTATTCAATTAAGCTAAAATATCATCAATAACTAAAAGCAAAAAATAATGGATTAGACATTTTCAAATTTCTAATAGAAAAAGAAGACTTACGCTTTTAGTGTTCCACTCAACATTAGTTCAGTGACTAGTACGATGTTCTTTTTCTTTATCCCCGGCGATTCCCAGTAGTTATAAAACCTCACTATGTTCGGATGTTGCAGTTTCTTCAACATCTCGGCCTCTTCTCTGAACCTCTGCCGCTCAGCCTTATTTAGTTTCTTCTCCTGCAGCTCGCACCAAGCTACGGCGACGCCCGTTTGCGTATCTAACCCTCTGTAGACAGTTTTGAAAGATCCCCGTCCAATCTATAACAAATACGAGAGGAGTTTGAAACCAGACCCAATCCAACAACTATTTAAAAAAAGAGGTGTTGCTAGAAAATAACTGGGCTAATCGTGTCACGTGTCATTTCCTCCCTCTATTTTTATTATCATAAAGGTTGCGCTCTGCTTAATTGAGGGCTGATGGCCTTCTTTCGAAGTAGACTTTGCATTTGTCCAAATTGTTCATAATATGTTCAAGAAGAGCAAAGCGCTAATTTATTTAATTGTATCCAAACAGGTCAACGGCCTTTTTACATGGATAAAAGTATTGTTACGCAGGTTTTTGATATCTCAATTTATTTCAACTCAACTTTTACAATAACGATACAACTGATAATATTAACACGTAACGTCTATCACAAAACTGAACTCTGACGTCAGGATCATCCTTATATAGCTTGCTTGACCCTTCTCGAACTGTCGTCTAGAATATTCTTGACAAGTAATGACATTTTAGGACTATTCTATCTTCTTTTACTTGTACTTTTACTTATGATGACCGCAGCACACTGTAGAGCGATGAGTAACATTCTACTTTTTTCTATCTGTACGTTTCCTATAATAGCTGCAGGCTACTGCAGGGTGCTGCGTAAAATTGCTCCCTCCTTTCTAGTTATTCGCTCCGAATAACTTACTGGGACTGGGACCTAGTTGGAACTAATAGGGAGGATCTGGACCAAGGTATGGAGCTATCTTCCCAATGTGAACTTCGTTGAATTTACTTCCCGCTGACAGTTGAATGCGGCAGATCAGGTCGTTGATTTTCCTTAAGGAAGGAGTAGGGGCCTTCCCAGTTCCGTTGCGATTTCTGACGAAGTCCTCCTCGCTGCTTGGGATTGGACAGCCATACCTTGTCGCCCCTCTCAAAATGTGTATCTGTGGCACATCTGTCGATTCTAGCTTCTGCTTTATTGGTGTGGGCTTTCAGTCGTTCCCGAGCGAATCCATAGACCTTTGTCCTGCCATTGCATACATCACATTTTTTACACCAACCCGCTACATCCCGTCGGCAATTGACCCAATAAAATCTTTCCCGAACTCGTGCCAGTGTCCTTTTAGTATCACACTGTCCTCCTGAATGGCTGCTATGAAGCTCCTCCAATATTTTTATCACCTGTGACCTCGGCAGTATCACTTTCTACATGTACTCCATCGGGGCTCTCCCACTTCCGATGCAATAGGCCATCGTGAAGATACACGAGAAATAGTTTGCGGCGGAGAGAAGTGTTAGGCACTTCTCTCGCAGCACAACCCGCCTACCTTTCGGCATTGGGCTTGCTTTACCTCCCAACATCCAAGCGAAGCCACTGTCAAGGGAACCCATCCCATCTTCCACACTCCAAAAATGAGCGGGGAAAGAAGACCGTCGAACTTTATTTACTACTTTTTACATTGCTAATATTTGTTGTACAATAGGTATATGTAGGTACAGTGTTTTATAATCTTATTCTTATTCTATTGACAGAAGAGACTTAAGCCTAAGGTGTTTGGGATAACATAGATTTAGTGGGTATGGGTTAGGAGCCGCGCACAGGTTTTCCCGCACTAGTTTTTCGCGGCACTTTAATTTATGACACGCACTTTTCTTTTTTTTACGGGTTATTTGAGACTATGTGTGAGCTGTTCCCGTCCACAAGCGTAGGTATTAGACTTAAGTATTAGACGTAAGTATTAAGTAATTTTAGTTCTGAGGCCAGTATGGTTTATTGATCGTCATTCTCGTTATAGATTAAGGCTTCTCCCCATTGGTTTATCCAGCTGACCAGCTGTTTGTTGTCTGTGTCGATGTCTGTGGGTGGGTAGGTCTTTTGTATTGTTGTTAGTCTGTTAGTGAGTAGTTGTCTTGCGTTGAGTCTTTGTTGTTCGTTACAGTGGGTTGTCACGTGTTCGAGGTCTTCGTATGTGTCGCAGTGTTCACAGTTAGTGTCGATGTCGTCTCTGAGGTGGAAGCGGTCATAATACGCCTTTATGTTTCCGTGTCCTGTTAATGTCTGTGTCGTTTTCCACGTGTAGCCTACCCATTTTGTAGTTACCTTTCTAATAATGCTGTACATTGTTCGTCCTGTGTGTCCGTGATCCCAAGTGTGTTGCCAGTGTTCTAATTTTGTTTTGTATAGTTTGTCTCTTAGTACTTTCATGTTTGTATATTCTAAGTCAATGTATTGTAATGTGTTGTCTTGTGCTATGGTATGGGCCTGTTTTATTCTATCGGTATTTCTGTGTTCCCATCGTGAAGATACAGGGAATCCCACTGGGTCCAGTAGCCTTTTATAGTTCTACTGTATTTGGCTATCTCCTGCTAAGTAGGTGTGACTTTATTTTTGAGCCATTCTCGGACAACCTTTAAGTCATTGTCTTTCTTCTATCCCTGTCTCAGACTTTCAAGGGTGATTTCTTCTTCGTCGCCCTCTGGCTTGATAGTGGTTGCCCGAAGAGTAACTTTATCAACCGATTCTTCTCGTTCTTCGAGCCTTTACCATACCAGCATTGTTCCTCTTAACGGGGTTGCCTGAAGAGAATGTCTGCGTTGCCATGGATACCTCTTCGATGCTCTACTTTCTGGTTATTGTTAGAAAGCCGACTCGGTGTGGGAGATTGGCTTCTTCGGGACACATAGCTGCTGTAATTAATTCTTGTTGGTCTTAGTGATGGGCTTGGAAAGATTGATCTATATGATTTTCCGGTCTCTTTCGCCGATTCTCGATTTATAGAATGAGCCATGCTTCTACAGGTTCTTTGAAGGTGCCCGATTCTTCCACAATTGAAGCATCTCCTGCTTCCATTTTGGCTGTTTCGTTGCATATTTCGTAGGATATTTAAGATTTGGGGAATAGCATTAGTATTGGCCTCCTCACTTCCCTGGGATTTAATTTCCCTCACTTTTGCGCGAGAAGATCTGGATAGAAGTTTTACTGTTTCATATTCCTGGGCTGCAATCAGTTTTTCCCTCAGCGTCTTGTGATGTTGCAGACGAAGGACTTGCTGCATTTCCACATCTTGTAGTCCATCAATGAATGCTTGTATTCCAAGTTGTTATTGGAAATCTTTCGGCACCTGTGGATAGGCCAAATGAATCAACCTTCTTATGTCAGCCTCGAATTCCTGTAGACTCTCATTATGTTTCGACTACGAATCTTTAGCTGGTTTTGGAATATCCGTTGCAAATGCTGCTGGCCATATCTTGTCTCCAAAGCTTAGACGAGAGATGAATAATTGGGTTACTCTTGAGGAAGTAACTGTAAAACGGTTGCTGCTTGACCTCGCAGTGACACTATCAATGAAGCCGCCATCTCCTCCTCGGCCTAGCCATTGGCTCTAGCTGCAGCTTCAAATTGGAGTCGATATGTTTCCCATGTTGTCTGACCGTCAAACGTGGGTGGCTTCAGGGTCTTGTTACTAAAGTCTATTCAAATTTAATTTACGCCTGATGTAAACAGAAAGAGGGTGGACGCTAAAATTGAGCAGGGCCGTATTTTACTTTTCCGTCTTGCAAAAATGTAAAATAAAAGAGTGTAATTGTGAAATTATTTTTTTATTACGATAAAAACATATTTTGCTAAGTAAAACTATAAAATAAATGCCATACACGGTCTCCCAGACTTTAGTGACATTTCTGGACGAAGATAGGTGAGCGACATAAACTGCGTTAACCTGCAATACAAATTAATAAATGTATTTGACTTTAAAAGAGATGGTTGCATTATATTTAGTTCATTACATATGTCTACTGTGATACAGAGCATTAAAACAATCATATTATAAAATTATATTGTCCAAATAATTGCAAATTCTTTAATAGCTAATATATATCTACTAAAAGCATTAAAAAAACTTTAAATATAAGAGGTATTTGAATTTGGTATTTGATTTAAAATTGTGCATCTTAAAAAGAAACCTTTTGTTTTTTTGATAACTATTGTTCTTTATTGTTCTTGTTCTACTAGTATTTAGATTAGACAACTTGTACCCTGCATTATAGCAATCTTCCTTACTTGACTTAGCACTATTCTGAATCGGATAAATTAGTTAGACTTGAAAGGCTATCTTCATTAATCAAAATTACAAGTGGTTCTACCTGAACCTCTATAATATTATCCAACTCCCATATTTTTACTTCAACTTTTTGGCGAACATGGTCGATACACTTTTTCCATTTTTCTGGAGAAATTAATAATATTACTTCTTCAAAGAGAATTTTAATGTCTCCAGATTTAAATGTTGAGTTTTTATCTGCTACGTATTGTTTAACGTCAACCTAGATTAATTCAATAGGGCTAAGTTCACAATGATACGGAGACATGTGAAGTATTATGTTGTTTTGCTGCTTAGCCATTTCATCTATTACATACCTATCATAATGTTAATGTTGCTTACCAAGTTTTAGAAGTTGGATCTTAAGCATTTGGTAGTCGAATTCAATTTTTTTCCCTTATTGCCATTTTTAAATATCACCTTTTTTAGACGTCGTAGATATTTTTTCCAGCTTTCTCGAATAATCATGCAGTTATCTTCTAATTTTGGTAGGGTGTTTGAAAACCACTCTTTGAACGATTCTCCACACATTTCTTCATGGTAGTCATCGGATTTTCAAATACATAAAGTGCATTAGAGACAAAGCCTTCTTCACTTCCAATATGGCATATAATGAGCTGTTTTTACGCACATACCGGATGGGTTTTCAAAACCAGTTAAAAGGTCATCCAAAAAGGCTTGTCTGGATGAAAAAACCGACATATCGAAACATACTTTTGATTTGGTGTGGCCTGCGTTAATCCAAGTCTCATCAAGATAATATATTTTTTGCTTTTCTTCTCTGTACCGTTTTATTTTTTGTGGCGTAAGACGAAACAATTTCATTTTTGTCTAAAAGCAAACTATTTTTTCCTCGAGTTTTAAATTTAAAATTAAGGGTTTTGAAAAGCTTGTAAAATGTAGCTCGCTTAAAAGTAGACAAACATGGATCATCGTTGACTTCTTATAAA